ACGCCGAGAGCTGACGCCGAAGTATGTGCGGGTACCACTGCATATCTGGAGACAGCTTTGGAGCCTCGCGATACCGAAGCATGTGACACATGCCGATGGATTGCTGACCGCGTAGTACAGGCTGGGGTATGCGTTGCATCATCCGCGTACAAAGTTGTTCGAGCGTGTTCCATGAGCGAGCACTTGTGGCGCATCACGCGCTTGATATCGCGCGTTATAAGGTACGACGACCGAGGCTCAAACCATATAACATGGGCACCGCATTCGCCAGCATCGGCACGCTACACAGAATTGCACGCGCCGTGAGATGATGCTACGTTATGTCACCCTCGTGAATGACGCACCCTGGGACATTCCACGACGTTCCGACTACCGGTACCGGTACGTAGGGCGGAGATTCGTGCTCGCTGGTCGCCCTCTACCAGCTCTCGCTTCCAGCTCAACCAGGAAGAAAGTGCTTCGTTCGGGCATCTTGGCTGCAGAGAGTGTGGTTGTCGCGTGTGGCCGATTCACGAGCACTCTGTGTAGACCGTTGTGCGGAAATGTCGCCACTTCTGACGCGTCGAGCTCAGATGCGACATATGGTGGTAGCCAATGGAGACGCCGCCTTCCCGCTCGAAACAAAAGACACCCTGTCCAAGCTGCGTTCGTTGTATCCGGTATCCGATATCGCGCTTGGCGACGGCTATCGTAGACGCTTCTCAGTCTGCTCTACAGAGCCTAGTTCAGCATCCGTGGCGGCTGTGCGCGCAAGTGCATCAGGTGTCGGTTGGCGAGCAGCAACATCTGTTGGAAGACGTTCGTGCATGGCCTCCATCGGGCGGGCTCATCGGGCGTTGCTCGATCATAGCACTCGACTTGATAAGGCTATCTTGCGCTGTACTAGTACTATAGAGCTTCGCTCGAGTCTCGGCGGCAAACTAGCTCGAGTGCGTCAAGTGCCAACGCTCGCTCTTCTTCCCGCAATGTTGCCCGAAGCCGTCGTTGATGTTGCCTGCGCATCGTACGCATCTCGGATCAGATGTCGACAATGGATTGCATCAAACAGTGGTGCACGATCGCCAGTCGCCCCCCGCCATCCCTTCCCTACCGTTACCCCAATTTCACGACGCCTCCACGGTGGTTCCTCCACGGTTGCGTCGCTTGATCCATCGTCGTCGCCGCCGAGTCAACTTGCAAACGCACAGAACCAGCTGTTGCAGTACATGTGCAGTCGTGTATTTCGAACACTCTTTGTTTTGTCTCGTAGCATGCGGGACCACTTTCGCCACTCGGTGAGCTCGCTCTACGCCTCGACCGACACGGCACCGCCCAAAGCCGGCGGGCGACACGACCATCTCGACGACGACGACGACGACGAGAGAGACCACGAGACGTCGTCACGCTGGCGCAACTGGCTCAACGGCGCGCCCGGCATTCTCCTTGGCACGGCGATCGCGCTCGGCTGCTTTGCGCTTGTGCAAGCGATCCCGAGCCTCCACGCGGCGCTCGCCGTCTACATTGTGGGCAAGAACACGTACTACATTGGGTGCCTCTACTTCCGCGCCATGACGTGCGTCGTCGTGCCCTTGGCGTTCACGAGCATTGCGCTGAGCGTCGCGGCGGTCGTCCAGACGCCCAAAATGGTGTTTGTGCGCGTCAAAATGATGTGGCTGCTCTTTCTTTCGACACTGCTTGCGGCGCTCTCCGGTATGCTCTGTGTTTATGTGATCCGGGACCATATCACGGGCAGCGAATTCGTGTACCGCCAAGGCCTTCTCTCGATCTACTGCCCCAACACCACGTCGCTGCTACTGCCGTCAACTGATGGCACGCTGCACTGCGTCGAGAAGGTTTCGGCGACTGCGAAAACCGCATTTCTTATCGGTGACAACGTCTACAAGATCATGAGCCTCATTAGCCGCTACATGCACTACGACTCGGACTCGGCCCAAGTCGTCCACTTGATCCAAAACCTCGCACCGAGCAACCTCTTTGCCGCCTTCTTCACCAACGACGTCATTGGTATTGTCATGTTCGCCATCATCTTTGGCGTTGCGACCGGGCTTCTCTCTCGCTCCGAGTCGGGCAACGTCGTCATGAAGGTGCTTCGGGAGCTCAACGGGCTACTGCAGACCATGAGCGGCTACGTGGCGGCCGCGACACCCGTTGCCATCATCCCGCTCATCCTCGCGCCGCTCCTGGCGGGTACCCACACGATGGATTTCGACCTGCTCCGCTTGGCGTACTACGTGGTTGCGTATGTTTGTGGCAGTGTGTTGCATGTCTGTGTCGTCTTGCCCGCGCTGCTCGTGCTCTGCGCCCGCGTCAACCCGTTTGCGTACTACTGGAAGCTGCGGCATGTGGCCATCTATGGCTTTGGCTGCAGCTCGTCGCTGAAAGCGCTGCCCGTGACGATGCGCGCGGTGGACCGTGAAGCACCAAACCCGAGTACGGCCCGCTTTGCGCTCTCGGTCGGGACTGTTCTCAACAAGAACGGCGCGGCCATGTACCTCTCGATGGCGTTTCTCTGGATCTTTTACAACGGCGGTCTGGCCAAGGAGCTCACGGCCACGACCGTTGGCGTCATGGTGGTCTGCGCTGTCGTCGGCGCGATCGCGGTGCCGCCGATCCGAACTGGTGGTGTCGGCATTGTCGTGTGTCTCTACACGTTTGTGACGGGCCTCCCGATCCCATTTGCCTTTGCGTTCTTACTCGTCGGCGAGTTTCTCATCGACCCGATAGCGACCGTGACCAACATTGCAGGCAACGTCGTCGTCGCCTACATCGTCGCGGATCAAAAGCGCTCGATGGATCTGCACGTGGCCGCTTGAGTGTTTGTGTGTATAGTTTCTTATTTTAACGCAATATCAAATGAAAGTTTGTGAATGCATCCAATAGGATTCCAAGTGGCCGCGGCCATGGGTTAACGGTACCGGCCATTGATGACGCTCTCGATGCCGTCGCTCGTCCAGCGAGATGGCGTCGATAGGGTGTACCATGATGCTACGGTGTAAATAGCTCCGTCTGTAGCTGTTTACGAGGGCAAAGACGATCATCATTCAACATGCGTATGCACGATCAAACGATCCAACACGCGACGAGGCGCGTCTACAAGGCGTCGTTTCAGACATGTGAATTTGAAACGGCCATCTGGAAATGGACGGCTGGGAGGCCGCGTCATCGTATTGACCTCTACTGACTGACCTCTACTGACCGTCCATCTCAATGTATCGCGTGCGTAGCTCACCACGTCGCGCCACTGAACAATAAGAAGGCAAGACGCATGTCATATGCATAGAAAGGTCATCCTCTAGGTGCAATTCCACGACGACAAACGCTACGTGTCATACAGTGTAGTTTCAATTCGTTCTTGTTCCTCTTATTGGTTTAAATAGTGTCTCTTGCGCTTACAATGAACCGTTGGGGCGTCCACATGCCTTGTGTGAATCACCCGGTGGCAATCACAGTGTATATCGTCGTTCTATAGTCTCCGATCAACCGACGTACTAGATCGCAAACATCGTCGTTGGGGTCGTTTGGCGACCGACAATATGAGCGACGACCGCGTTTCCGAGGATGTTCATGACGGTCGAGATCGGGTCGATGAACGTCTCGGCAATCATGAGGTAACTGTACGCGTACGGAGTCGGGAGGTCGGTCAGCGTCGTAAAGATGACAATCACGACGGGCACGGCGCCGTTGCGGACGGGCGCGACGCACATGGAGCCGAGGAGCGCGCAGACTGCAATCACCGCCATCTTGACCGGCGTCAGCATGAACTTGAGCCCCGCGTCGTGGAAGATCCAGATAAGCGACAGTGCGATGTGAAAGGCGCCACCGTTCTTGTTGAAGCAGTTGCCGACCTTGAGGGCCGCGCGGCACGCGACACGGTTCGAGACGTGCGGGTCCAAGCAGCGCATGGTCACGGGCAGTGTCTTGCGCGACGAGCCCGACCCAAAGCCGTACCAGAGGGCCTCTTTGGTCGCCCGCAGAAACCGAAGCGGACTCGATGCCGTAAAGATCGCCGACACGAGCGGCAGCATCACAAACGTATGGATCGCGGCACCGGCCACGTACACGCCGGCGTAGATGCCGAGACGCGGAAAGACCGAGCTCAATGTGTGTGTGCGCGCAAAGATCGGGCCCGTGATCATGGGCACCATCGCAATGGGCGTCACCGTGATGATGTACGAGAGCATCGTCTCGAGCGTCGCGCTGGCCTCGACGAGCGTGTGCCGGAGCCGGTTGGTTGCGTCCGACCCTTGGTTCTTCCCCGAGAGGCCGAGCGCAACACCAATGAGGAGCGCAAACGTTGCCAAACTCAGCAAGTTGTGCGCGATAAATGCTTGAAAAATGTTGCTCGGGATGAGATCCGCGACCGCCGATTGGAGCTCGTCGCCCGCGTTCGCATAGTCCTTGCGCCGAATGAGACCCGGGAGGACGGGAAACACGTGATCGCCAATGTAGAACGTCGTCGAGTTGTCTTCAGCGCCGCACGCCATGCGGCCCGTGATAGGGTCGCTCTGCAGGTACAGCGACGCGTTGTTGGCCGACGGGCACTTGAGCTCCATGAACGGAAGCTCAATGTAGACGTAGCGCGCACCGTCGAGCTCGGCACCGAGCAGCGCCTCCCACGTGAACGCTTGGCCGATCGCAAGGCCGGTGGTGAGGAGCGCGAGGCCGAGCGTGTGCCAGCGCAGCCGGTGGGTGCGAAAGCTGTGGGTAAACTCAGCGACGTTGAGGATGATGTCGATGAAGGCGAGGGGCATGACGACGCACTCCATTGCGCGGAAGTAGAGGTTCCCGATCGCAATGATCGTCCGCGCGACCGTGATGTGCATGTGCACGTCCTTGAAGATGTACGTCAAAATGAGCGCGAGAATCGCGCCAAAGAGCGGCCCGGGGGCACCAAGGAACCAGCGCTTGAGACGCGACGCGACCTCGGGCTCGTGGGACGCAAAGAGATCGTCGCGCTGGCGGCCAAAGAGCGGGTTGGGCGGGTTCGTGTTGGTCGTGCCGGACGGGGCTGACGACGCGGCGTCGTCGTGCTTGGCCATGACGAGGGCGATTCCGGAATGTCGACAAGCAATGGCGGGTGGTGGCGATACAGACACATGGCGCGTAGACGTGACCTGAAACACGTGTAGTAATCCGTGTGTACAGTACAGTAACAACCGCGTCGCCAGTCGCTCGCACGGACGGCGATTGTGCGGCGCCCAATGGCGGACGCCTGGTGTACTAATATTGTCGAGAGTGGAAGGACCACTGCGTATGCGGCGGTGAACGGTCGCGACCCGTCCAGCCACACGATTGAGGGACTGTCCATGCACCGCATTGGTGAGCGGTTTTGGCAGTTTGCTGTTCCGGGTTTGGTGATACGAGGGGGTGGGGGGGTCGAATTCATGGCACACGAGGCGTAATCGATGGGGTCGACTTGCTTTAACCTGGGTCAACAGGGCCAGCTGACGTGACCAATGCCACCAATTTCAACCAGATTGTGCATATTGCGTATACCAGCCGCTGCGGTCGTCATCTTGAAGCCTTGAATCGAGCGTTTGCATTTCCAACCCTCGCGGCGTAGTCGCGTTTATTGCGATGTAGATACCTCGGTTCGCGCCCTGCGGCAGGGCTACAAAAGACTACAAGTTGGTACAAGACCTTTGGCAACGCTATCAGCTCATCGAAGCTCCTAGTGCGTCTGTCGCACGGCAGCTGTCATGCGGCCATGTTGGACAAAACCCAGAATAGCAATTGCCAGAATAACTCAAATGGGCGACAAAAAGGAGCGAGTTTCTCTGTCCTCGCTTGCACAAAGGCACGTCGGTGATCACCCGCTTCTGTCCCTACCGAATCATCTATAATTCTCATTTTGTCCAAGGACCTTGTTGTATACGATGCCTTTCTTAGCGCACAGCAAGGACCCGGCCGCATTCATGCAAGTCCGCTACTGTTCGAGGTGGAAATGGACCAATCGAAGTCATTGAGCAGAGCTCGCTGGAAGGACGAGCGTACGAGGCGCACGACTTACAACGCAGCTCAAGGCAAAGCAAGAAGGAGTCGAACAAGGCATGTCAACCACGTGGCGGTTTCATCGGCAGAAGCGTGACACTGACGTTGACGGTAGAGTCACACCGCGCGTGCAGCTCGCGCGTGCACTGGTAAGTGCAATGTCAATTTTGTTTGGTAATATTCGTGGATTGCTGATGTGGCTTTGCGAAGCTTCAAACTTATAGATACATGATCTATGTACATGTACGTGCCTCGTCCCGTGTTGGCACCACTGCTGTTACGACAGTCGCTCTTCACATTTGGAAAGAGGTTCTCGCGGTGCACGAGCACTGCTGTTTGTTGTCTACCATGAATGTCTACCGTCCGAAATATCAGAGGCGGTAGAGGACAACTGCTACTAGTACGCGTTTCGTGTCGCGAACATGCACGCACAGCTGCACGCACACATCTCCAACGTTGAAGTCTTGCTCTGGATCCCTATTTCGACAACCAAACCTTGCGCGAGTATTTGCATATACCTTACCTTTGTGATGCGGCCATTGAATTGCCTGCAAGTACCAGGACGTACATGCCCCATCTCCAATCAAAGCACGTCAGTGTAAGAGGTTTGTTCACTCAGAAGATGGCCACACTCGTTCTACACCGCAATACTAATCGTCAAACTAGTACTACGGAAATCCGGGTCGAATGTTTTGATGCAGCGAGATCCTTTTTCCATTTTGATCAAGGTGATTGGAATTGCAAGCTCCATACAAACCCACGTCCAAGCTCAAATGCTACTACGTTCGCCAACTCACACTGCCTTCTCAACCCAAAAAACCAAGACGCCAATGCATAAACCAAGAATGAGTTGCTGGTATTCAACGGCACAGATGTGTACACACTACGACAACGTCGAGAAGAGTCGCGACCTAACCCTCCTGCGGGTTGGCCGTCGAGCGGAAGCTCGACTTGGTGAGGTACGGCGCGATAAAGTCCTTGCCGTACGAGAGGCGCGAGTAGACACCCGGCTTGTTGGCCACCGCGCAGCCCTCGCCCCAGCTGACGACGCCGATCTGGACCTCCTTGCCGTTCTTGGTGGCCGTGAGTGGACCACCCGAGTCGCCCTGGCACGAGTCCTGGCCCTTGACGCCGCCCGCGCAGATCATCGACTCGTGGATGCCGTTGAGGTTCTTGGCGCACTGGTCGTTGGCCCAGACCTTGACGCCGACCTCGAGGAGCACCTTGGACTGCGAGCCACCCGAGCTCGTCGTGCCCCAGCCGCGGACCTTGGCGACGACACCCGGTGCGTTGGACGTGTCGTCGTCAAAGCTGAGCGTCACGGGTGTCTCCTTGCTGGCGCGCTCGAGCTCGAGGATGCCAAAGTCGTAGTGCATGTCGTCGCTGGTCCACTTGGGGTGCGCGATGGCCTTGACGACGCGGATGCGCTCGCCGTCGGCGCCACCGGACGTGTAGTGGGTGCCCACGGCCGCGTAGTCGATCTTGAACCCGGCAACGCAGTGGGCGGCCGTCAACACGTACTTGGGCGCGATGAGTGTGCCGCCGCAGCGGCTGCCCGACGTGGCCGACCCGCCGCGGAGACCGGTGATGTACTTGAACTGGCCGACGGGGACTTCGGTGCCGCCGACGATCTCGGGGTTGCCGCCTTCCGGGACGATGTCGGCGACGGCAGCCGCGGCGCAGAGCGCGAGGAGCGTGGTTTGGAGCTTCATGTTGGTGGGGGTTGGTGAAATGGGGAATGAGACGCTGGTTGGGATTGCAGGTTTTTTGTGGTTCGATTTTTTCTATGCGGGTGTTGGGTGTTTTTGGGGTTCTGTGTGGGCTGGTCTGGTTTTGGGTTTTTTTGAGTTGAGTCTATTGGTCGCTTACCGTTGGTGCGTTTGTTGGCTGATATTGCTTGGCTGGTTTTTGCCACTCTTTTGGGTTTGTCAGGTTCCTGTCTGTTAGCTCGGGGCTCCTCTACTTGTGTTTTTTGGTATTGCTTGTCGTATGGGTGCCATCACGCAGCGTCGGTTGTGTCGTCCTGTTGTCCGGGTGGTCCACTTTGTGTCTCCTGTTTTGGGTCGCGCGTTTTTTGCTCTGTTTTGGGTCCGTTTGCCGTGTAGTGTTGTGTGGTCCAGTTGGCTGTTGGTCTCTTCGCTTCTCGGTTTTTCTTGCTTGTTTCATGTGTAGGGTTCTCTTGGTCCATTGCTTCGTTCTTGTTGGCGTATATGGGTGTGACCCGCTGGTGTGTGCGGGGTTGTCTTGCCGGTGTATTTGGGTGTGCTTCGAGCTCCGCTGGTCTCAGTTCGGTATTTCGAGTGTTTTCTTGCTGTCGTTCTTTCTTTTTGGTTTTACTGGGTTGTGGCTGGTTGTGCACTGTTCCGTTGTGGCTTGGAGGTTTTTCGAGGCCTTTGTGCGCCTGTGTGTGCTTGGATTGCTGCAGCTAGTTGTCTTGCTTTACGCGGGCGTGTGCTTGTCTCGTTTCTTCTACGGCCAGTGCCGTTTCGTTTCCAGTGCTGGACGGCCTTGTTAGTGGAGTGCGCTTCCGCTCCTCTGGATCTCTTGTCTGCTCTGCCAATTGTTTGTTGCTTTCGTGTTGCTGCCGTGCTTTCTGGTGTTTTGTTGTAGGGGTCTTATTCGGCCTCGGCCCTCATCTGAGTCTCTGTTGCTTGATTTCCGGTCGCTTCTTTTGATTCACTTGTCTTGGTGGGGTGTGTGTGGCTCGTGTTCTGTTGTCTTTAGCTGGTCCTGTGTTCTTTATGCGTGGCTTGTCTTCGCGGCTATGGGGCTGGGTTTTAGCGCACCGCTCGGGTGGTCGTGTTCCTAGCTTTTGTTCTTTTCCTTCTGTTTGGGCGCCTTCTTTAATCCCAACCATTGTCTCATTCCTCATTTCACCAGCCCCCACCAACATGAAGCTCCAAACCACGCTCCTCGCGCTCTGCGCCGCGGCTGCCGTCGCCGACATCGTCCCGGAAGGCGGCAACCCCGAGATCGTCGGCGGCACTGAAGTCCCTGTCGGCCAGTTCAAGTATATCACCGGTCTCCGCGGCGGGTCGGCCACGTCGGGCAGCCGCTGCGGCGGCACGCTCATCGCGCCCAAGTACGTGTTGACGGCCGCCCACTGCGTGAAGGGGTTCAAGATCGACTACGCGGCCGTGGGCACCCACTACACGTCGGGTGGCGCCGACGGCGAGCGCATCCGCGTCGTCAAGGCCATCTCGCACCCCAAGTGGACCAGCGCCGAGATGCACTACGACTTTGGCATCCTCGAGCTCGAGCGCGCCAGCAAGGAGACGCCCGTGACGCTCAGCTTTGACGACGACACGTCCAACGCACCGGGTGTCGTCGCCAAGGTCCGCGGCTGGGGCACGACGAGCTCGGGTGGCTCGCAGTCCAAGGTGCTCCTCGAGGTCGGCGTCAAGGTCTGGGCCAACGACCAGTGCGCCAAGAACCTCGACGGCATCCACGAGTCGATGATCTGCGCGGGCGGCGTCAAGGGCCAGGACTCGTGCCAGGGCGACTCGGGTGGTCCGCTCACGGCCACCAAGAACGGCAAGGAGGTCCAGATCGGCGTCGTCAGCTGGGGCGAGGGCTGCGCGCTGGCCAACAAGCCGGGTGTCTACTCGCGCCTCTCGTACGGCAAGGACTTTATCGCGCCGTACCTCACCAAGTCGAGCTTCCGCTCGACGGCCAACCCGCAGGAGGGTTAGGTCGCGACTCTTCTGGACGTTGTCGTAGTGTGTACACATTTGTGCCGTTGAATACCAGCAAGTCGTTTTTGGCTCTTCCATTTGACTTCAAGTTGCTTCATTTCTTCGCATCCGGATAGACTTCGCGTGGTATTAATAAGAGCTGACCCTCTAACGCCATTGCTCTTTCAGCTCCACCAACGGAGTCATGGAGTATGAGCAAGACCGACTTCAGTAGTTGCCTTCTGACGTCATCAGAGTGCCGATCCTCGTCTTGGATGCGTTGGGAGAATGCAGGTATTGCCATCAAAATCAGAGTGTTGGTGCCGTCGTCCTTCGAAGCCAACACAACCTCGGCAAGATGACGTAAATCGTGTTACGTTTTGTCGAACACTATATTATGCTTTCCAGTGTTTACACGATGTATGGACTCGCGACCGCGCCATTTTGTTGAAATAGTGTGTTTCTAATGATGACTGCGGTCATCATGTCGCCGTTTCAAGTGTAGGACCCGTTCCCGAAGGCCATTGACCATTGTCGCCGACCATGACAACGACTGTCTTCTCTGACGCCGCCTGCGAGACATCGCCTTTGCTCGCAGCGGCCAAGCGTCGTGCGCGCGGCTTTAAGTACCTTCGCTACGCGACTGTGGGCCTGGTCGTCTTCTTCCTCGCCGCCTACGTGGTCTTGTACTTTTGCATTTCGCCGATGGGAGCCGTCCGCATCTACAAGGACATGACTGTGCGCTGCTTGGCGTACGTCCACGTCGCGTCCGGGTCGGTCTGGCTCATTGCGTCGACGCTGCAGCTGTTTCCGGGGTTTCGCACGTCCAACTTTGCGCGCCACCGCAGCGTCGGGTACGTGGCCATCGGTGCGTGCGGCGTCTCGTTTGTCGCGGTCTGGGCCTTGTTTTTTGTCGCGGGGACGTCGCTCGAGGGGGGTCTTGGCATCCTCCTCGCCTCCGTCGTCTTTTCGCTTGTGTGGGTCCACTCGCTGTACCAAGGCGTCCGCGCCATTCAGCGCGGCCAAGTCGAGCTGCACCGCTACTACATGCTGCGCGCGTATGGCATTGCGGGAGCGATCATCGCGATGCGCCCGGGACTCATTCTCCTCCAAAGCTTCTTCTCGACGCAGACCGAGGACGATACGCGCTTGCGCCTCGGCATTGTCTCGTGGGCAGTGTGGGCGCTCGCCTACATGACCATCGAGGCGTATGCAACGACGTCGGCGTCATTTGCGTCGCGCGCACGTACGTCCTTTGAGCCGTGCACCGTCGTCTCGAGGAAGCTCGTGTCGCCCGACATGGCGCTGCTGGTTCTCGAGTCGCCCACGCACAGCGTGCTCGCCTACGCTACGCCTGGTCACCACGCTGCGTTGCGCATTGCCGGCGCGACCCGGTCGTATACGCCTGTACCTCTGGGGCTAGTCGCCAAGGACATGCAGTGCCCGCACCGTATCGGCTTGCTCGTGAAGAAAGTGCCGAATGGCACCGTAAGTACGTTGCTCCACGACTGTGCGATCGGCAGCTCCGTCGACGTCCTTGTGCCCATCCCAAGCAGCATAGCTCTAGAGCCAGAGTCGCACGCCGAGCTTGTCTTGGTCGCGGGTGGCTCGGGCTTGTCCACGATGCTCTCGCTGCTGCAAGGCGCCATCGACGATCTGCGCTACAAGACCATTCACATATTTGTTTACACGACAGCTGGAGCGCCATTTCAAGACGAATTGGACGCACTGGCGTCGCCGCTGCGGATCGTGACGCACTTCAGCAACGACCGTCCGACGTCGTTTGATTTTCGCGCTGTGGATCCGAGTCGCGCTATTGTCGCGGTGTGTGGTCCCAAGGGCTTTATGGAGCTGGTGATGGCGAGCTTCCCGGCAACGCCGCGCGTCAACATGCATGCGTTTGGCCTCGACGACATGTAACTTGGATACAATTGTCGATTCGGATATCTATGGAATGCTGTGACCGATTCCGCTCCTGGCAACAACCAGAACGTGAAATCAGACAGAGGGTGGCCGTACTCCGTAAACACCGGCTAGTGTACAGGCTAGTGTACTACAAAGCCGAACGGAAAGTGGTAGCTAAGCTACGTCGCCTAACTGCTGCCAACGACTGTACAGTCTCACATCAACGGGCTTCTCCCGTAGGACTAAACATGCAAACACACATCGCCTTGTCCCGTCCTAGTGGTCTTGACGTGGGCTAGGCTCACACCCAGTGCCCCACCACTGTATGCGACCAACGGTCACAACTGCACACGATTATAATTTCAAATGAGAGTGTCAACAATTGCAGTACGTTGCGACCCACGCCCTGCGTGCCAGGCCGCATGCCGCAGATGCAAGGCTGAGGCGGTGCCCCTACAATGCCGCAGAAGAGGACGCTGAACGTGTGCACGACTGCCATGTCCTCTGCTGAAATGCCAGTGCATTGTGCGTGTATTAAGGTATTAATGTCTATACGTAGGATACTTAGGTGCGTCCTCGCCGGGACATGATGTCGGAGTTTCCGTTGGCCACGATGTGGGCAACGACAAGGTTGCCGGCCATGTTGATCATGGTTGCCAGCGGGTCCATGAGGCACTCGGCGACGAGGAGGAGACTGTACGCGTACGGAGTCGGGATACCGGAGAGCATGGCCCAGAAACTCACGACGATCGCAATGCCGCCCGAGCGCACGGGTGCCGCCGCGACGGACCCAAGTACGCCGAAGAGAAGGATCAAGCCCGCCTTGATTGGCGTCAACCGATCTTCGAGCCCCGCGTTGTAGAAGAGCCAAACGAGCGAGAGCGAGATGTAGATGGACGTGCCGTTCCGGTTGAGGGTCGTGCCGACGACGACGCCAAAGCGCGCGGCCTGTGGCGTGCGCACGTGCTTGTCGAGCGCCCGCATCGTCAACGGCAGCGATTGGCGCGATGAGCTGCAGGCAAGGCCGTACAGCAGCGCGTGGCGCACACGCTGGAACCACCGCAGTGGGTTGGTGCACGTCGAGAGCACAAGCACGGTGGGGAGCACGAGGAGGCCGTGGGTGGCGATCGCAGCCAAGTACGCCAGCGCGAAATACCCGAGACGCGCAAAGTCCGCATACCCGTGCGTGCCCGAGATAAGCGGACCGACAATCAGCGGAATGAGCGCGATCGGCGTCGTCGTCACCACGTATCCCATCATGATCTCAAAGATCGCGTTGAGTTCGCGAAGCACCTTGACGATGCGGTTCTCGCTCGTACTGCCAGCAGCAGCCTCGTCGGCGTCGTCGTAGACGCCGAGCGCAATACCCAAGACGATGGCAAAGGCGACGGCCCCCGAGACGTCGCCGTGGAGCAGCGCCAGCGCCACGTTGTCGGGCACGAGCCGACGAACCACGCTTTGGACCTCGTCGCCGACGCTCGCGTACGTTGTCCAGCGCTTGATGTCGTTGCGAATGTTGAACACGTCATCGGCGATGCCAAAGGATGCGATTTTGCCTTGGGGTTTGCACGCAAGCGTTCCCTTGTCGACCACAACAACGCTGGCGAGCGCAGTAGTCGTGTTGCTGCTCTCGAGATGCGGGCATGCAAAGCCCAGTGCCGCGGAGTGGAACGTGTACGGTGTGCCGCGAAACTGGTGGCCGAGAAGAAGACCCCATGCGAGCGCCTGCGCCGATGCGAGCAGCGTCGTCAGTAGCGCGAGACCGACGATGCGCCGCCGGAATTGAAACATGCGCCGTGCGCGAACAACGTCGGCACATGAGAGCGCAACGTCAAGCACGATCTTGGGCACGACGATGCACGTGAGCGCGCGGAGAAAGAGGCACCCCGCCGCGTACGTGTACTTGGCGTGGTCGTGGTAGACGACGCCAAAGTTAGTGTCGTCGCCCGCGGCTTCCACGACTCCAAAGACGATGCCAAGCGCGATGAGTGTGCCCAGTAAGGTGCCCGGAGCACCGAGGAACCAGTGGACGTACCGCGACTTGGCTTCTTCGTTGTTGGAAAAAGGTGTGTCGTGTTGCAGCGCGCGCACGTCGTGGCCAATGACGTTGGCATAGTCCATCTCGACCGTGCCATCGTGGCTCGGCGACTTGGCGCCGTGCTCCATCGCGCTAAATGAGAGACTGCGACAGCGATGGTGTGGACACGGCTCTGAGCGCGTGCACGCAGCACCTAGATTCCATACCTATTGGAATCAGAGAACCGCGAATCTACGCATCTGAGTACAGTTTGTGTGGCCTGAGCGACGAAGTCCAAGGGCAAACACATGTCTTGCGTGGAATCCATGCGAAACGATGTAAATTGTCCATATCGTGTGGCAGGTACCGCGTGGCAGCACGAGAGCGCGCGTTTCACCCGTGCTACGCTATAGTGTACACGTCTGTCCGCCCGTAGTGTCAACCTTCCGATGCGAGTACGACTCCTCAGAGGATGACGCACGAGCTCCATTACGAGAAAAGGAGATGCAGCAGCATGCTATATGAGAGCATCTCCATCCGACGTCCTATTTCCTATTTTCTCGGAGGGCTGTGATTGGTGGATCCTATCGTGAAATAGGATCTTCACCCGTCCATCCTATCCAAGCGGCATATACCGGATAAATTCGAATTAACCGGCTTCGCGCCTTTTTGTAAGCTCTCTTGCGCGCGCACTCACTTCGGTATTAGCGCCACTGGCGCGAGTTCTTGCTCGATGACGACGACGATGACGAACTCGTGCACGAGGTATTTCACCGACCGAACAAGCGACGCCACGGCGGCGGTGTTGTTGGTCGCAAGATGGTAAAGCGCGACATCGCGTCCGGCCACAGCAACATCATGCGCGACTACCTAAGAACACTAAGAGGTTGCAACCTTACCGTGCAAAAGCGGCCTTCTTTATCGTACAGTTCTTGGAACTTGGGGCACTCCCTGAGGACTTGCCACGCCGAGAGGTAGGAGAATCCATCCCTAACACCTTTCGGATGGGCCTTGTACAGCTCCTGCGTCTTCTCGATCTGTCGCTCTTCGTTGCTACCGGACTCATTGGCGCGATTGGCGCGGGCGTACAGTCCACACCACACATAGATGGCCGATTGAATTTTCCCCGACCATCGTTTGCTCGCGGCGCTTGCGCTTCGCGAATCGGAACCACCCTGCGCGTGAAAGCGAGCAACGACCTCGTTCCAAAACTGTGCCGCCTTCTTGTCGGCGCCTTCAGTCGAGCTGGTGCTCACCGACATCCAAGCTCGCGCGAGCGTGGCGACCTCCTCTGGTGTCCAGATCTTTTGGCGACCCATGGCTATAGTGGGTCCAGGGAGCACAAGCCAAGGAGCGCCCAGTATCTTTTTATAGACGACGCCTTCGGCGCTCGTGGATGGATCCCATTCGATGCTCCAATCAGATCCACGGGATAAATAGGACAGCCAATGGTACGGCAATATTTTTTAGGCTAAGCCAATCAAATCGCCTAGAAATAGGATTTGGCTTCTATTTCGCGACGATTTTGACCTATTCGGTACCGCTTAGGACGAAAAAACGGCCGAATTCCTATTTTTTAGGGAATAGGAGGTGAGGAGGTCGGGTGGAGTTGTTTTTCCTATTTTATCCGGATGCCATTTCGCCAGCACCTCGAAATAGGGAATAGGACGTCGGGTGGAGATGCTCTGACTGCGCTACATTCGGCACGTGAGGCACCACTACCAAGGGTATGAACAGCT